ACTGCGGGGAACTCTGCAAAAAACGCATCTTCGCACGGGCAGCCCGTGCGTTGGCCAATTTTCTGTAGTTGATATAATAGCGGATGGAATCACCGCGTAACGAATTAGCTCGCCTTTTTGATGCGAAATTGGGCAGCAGAGGAGCTCGATGATCTCGCTTTTGTTTCTCTTCATTCACCATTGCAACAGCAGTAATAATAATAATGTTGCAATTGTTTCTTGTTATCTTATAACCCCCAACAATCTCTCTTGTCCATCCATGGAACTGTAGCCTCACATATTTGTTCATTGTACCCGCGAAAGAAGCCTCTGAGGCCTCCTTTTTTTGTCGCTAATATCGTTAAAGTGTTGTTAAATCGAACAGTCATTTAGACCCTATCTTTTTTTTGATGGGTTTTTTTTTTCGATTTTTTTACTAAATTGGGCCAGAACTGGGCGCAAAATAAGCGTTTTAAGTCATAATGCTTTCGCATAAGTTAAAATTTGATGCTCCATTTTATTCGTGTTTTTGTCGTTGGAAAATCTGATTTTTTTGACAAAATCTGTTTTTTTTTTAACCTAAATGACGCATTATGTTCCAAGTGCGTTCTTGCCCATAAGTTAAAATAAACGTTATTGTTGCCCATGGTTCCATCTTTTACCGCTCAGTTTGGGGCTGCCCCGCACGCAAACAGAAAGGAAAAATCTTCGCGAATCGTACACAGCGCCGGCCGAGCTGGGTTTTAGTAATCGCCCCCTACCCACCGATACCGAAACAGGTTTCCGGGACAATTAGTTGAACAGGGATAAGCTGTAGCAGTAATAATTTTTTGAAATGAAGGTTATGTTGCCCAAGTTCGGCCCCATCTATCGTTCAGTGGAGCTTGCCACTCAGCATGGGGTTACCCTACACGCAATCAGACAGGGGAAGTTTTCGCGAATCGTGCGTGCCACTGGTCGAGCTGAGTCCTAGTAACCGGCCGTGCCCACCGATGCCGAAACAGGCTCCCTGGACAATTGCCAAAACTGGGCCAAGCTGTAGCAGTAATAATTTTTTCAAAATAAAGGTTATGTTGCCCAAGTTTGGCCCCATCGATCGTTCAGTGGAGCCCGCCCCTTAGCTTGAGGCTACCCTGCACGCAAACAAAGACGAAAAACTTTCGCGAGTCGTGCACAGCACCGGCCGAGCCGAGTTTTGGTAACCGCTCACGCCCACCGATGCCGAAACAGGCCTCCGGGACAATCAGCAGAACTGGGATCATCTGTAGCAGTAATAATTTTTTTAAAATATAGGTTATGATGGCCAATTTTGCATGTATCTATGGTTAATTCTACCTCATTACTCAACGTGGGGCACCTCACATGCAATCGGAGAGGAAAAACTTTCGCATGCGTGGCACTGGCCGAGCCGAGTTCTAGTAATCGCCCATGCCCACCAGTACCGAAACAGGCTTCCGGGACAATTGCCAAAACCGGGGCCAGCTGTAGCAGTAATAACTTTTATATTAGATGTCCATACAACACAGTTGACAAAGTAAAACTGAAAAGTGTCCGTCTGTGATGACCGATGTGACACGTTAATTTAGAAGATACAAGTTGGTGAAGACTCTGTTTCCTCTTTTCGGCTCTATGCGCACCCCATTATTTTTATAAAAATAATTTTTGGAAAATTTGAAAAATCATAATCCTTTCCCATTTTCTCTTTTTTTCTTTTTCTTTTTTTTTTTCCTTGTTCTTTCTTTCTTTATATTACTTTCTCTTTAACTACTACTACTAATTTTCAAATTCATTTACGACGCTTGGTATATCACCTTGTTGTTTTTTTTTCAAATTTTTGAAAAATTTAAAAAATTATAATTCTTTTCCAATTTCTTTTTCTTTTCCTCTTTCTTCTTTTTCCTCTTTTTTTTTCTGGAAAATTCAAAAAATTATAATTCTTTTCCACTTTCTTCTTTTCCTCTTTCTTCTTTTTCCTCTTTTTTTTTTCTGGAAAATTCAAAAAATTATAATTCTTTTCCACTTTCTTTTCCTCTTTCTTCTTTTTCCTCTTTTTTTTTCCGGAAAATTCAAAAAATTATAATTCTTTCCCACTTTTTTTTTTCTTTTCCTCTTCCTTCTTTTCCCTTTCCTTTCTCTTTAACTACTACTAATAACTTTCAAATTTATTCACGACGCTTGCTAGAAGTACATGTAGTCACCCATCTGCTCAACAGGTCGATTTTTCTGGAATTCTGTGTTAAAACAAGGGAACAAGGTGTCGCTTCGTGTGTGAGAAGAATGAACAGCAGCATATCCAGCAAAAGTGGATTAAAAACAAAAAAAACCCTAACATTTATGTCGAAATCCGAAAATACAGACGAACTGCAATCCATGTCTCAATCCACTAAATTTCCCTTTTACAATTCATAGAATTCCCCTCCCCCCTCCCCTCCGCCCCTTCTCGCCTCCCCGTTCCTCACCCCCTAAATTCCAGTAGCGAGATCCAGGAACACGGAATCCAAAGTTGTACTTTCTAAAACAACAAACGATTACAAAAATCCGAAAGTAAAAAAAAAACATCTGAAAAAATCACATCAAAAATTTGTTTTAGCTAGAATACTAACAATTAAACAGTAATACGTACATATAGGAACCTTGTATAAAATGACAAATAACACACAGATCAACATAAAAACGGCAATAGAAAGTTACACTAAACGATTATGCGTTTTCTGGCAGTACTGCTTAGCGAAGCTGAAAAGATGAAAACAGACGTTTACAGTCCGCCAGTGACACTTACCCAACTTTGCCAGCTCACAGACGGTCAAAAGGAACATCCTCTTAAAATTTCAGCTTCCTATCTTTTCTACTAATTGAGTTGAATGAAAACCACGGGGAAAGTGCGAAAAGTTGGGAGAACAGTCTCGACAATATCCGTTTCGTAACACAAAACTTATAAAAAAGACAAAAAAAAAACAAACAAAAAATGAAGGGATTGCTATGCTCGAAGAACACTAATGAACAGAACGAAGAAATTCAATTCGATTAGACTCTTTAGCCAGAACGACATCCGCAATGACCTTCTATTCGAAAAATTTGGCCTAACACCCAAGAAACCACCGCCCTCAAAATCGCTGAAGCCTCCGGAGGTGACAAGTGGATTTTCGTGTAGCTGTTTTATGGCCGTGACAATCAAATAATTCAAATTTTGGTAATAAATATCCAAAATTTCACACATTCTTGGGAATTTTTCTTCGAATTTCTTGTTCCTGGATTGCTTCCTTGGACCTCCCGCAGATTCGGACTTGGTCACAATACGATGAGTATTAAAAAACCGTCTGGAGCAGGCCAGAGTTGTCGAAAGGTTTAGGCGCGCGCACGAAAAAACAAACGAGTTCAAGGAAATGGAAAAACACCTGTGATTTGGCTATTTTGTCCTGGAAAAAAACAGTTTTTCTACAAAAACAGAAAAAAAAATCACAAAAAATGAGTTCCAACATCTTCAGCAGATTTCGGCTCGGTCATAATACAGTGGAGAAGAAATTTCTGAATATCTATTTTGAAATTCATGAAACACAGTGAGAAATTCATGAAATACAGTGAGAAATTCATAGAAAATCCACGAAAAATTCAAGAAATTCATGAAATTTCTGAAATCTATGAAAAAAATCTTATGTAATCTTTCTGCTTATCTCTGTAATGGAATATGATTTCTGAATATATCTATTCACAGTGATGCATATGTAGCAGAATTCTGGTATTAAAAAAATGGTTTCTTACTGGATTTCTGAAAAAATATCAAAGTTTTCAGAAAAAACTTCTGAAATATTACCATCTTTTTTGGGATTTATTGATTGTAAGTAAGTGAGGTATGGAAAAATGAGGGATGGCGTACCTCATCACAATCTCGGGGACCATCGGCAACAAGTCAATTTCATGCTGGTTCAAGCACTTGTTGCTCAGTTTCTATGTCACGCAATCGATTTTCTAGCCACAATGAGAAGCGCTCCTTTTTACGTCTCGAAACTAACTGATGCCTCTGCAAAAATATGCGAAATAACGCTTTGTTAATATTTCTGCCAGCGTACCAGGAGGGTATACCACTCGCTTCATCGGATGTACGGACACATGAGATGTTTAGAATCATAAGAATCTTTAGAATCTAGAATCTTTGGAATCATGAGATCTTTAGAATCTTTAGAATATTCTTTAGAATCTTTAGAATTTCATGAATTACATGGAGAATCCAGTTTAGAGCGAAAATGTGGTTCATTCATTTATGAATGCTTCTGAACTCAGCTTGCTCCCTCTCTGCTGCTGATCAGCAAATGTCTTGATAGTCGGCTGATGATAATTCACATGCTCAACCAATTTATCGTGCTTCGTGTATAACAAAACGGTTTTCGGCTCTCACTAACTTTCTTTGTATTTTCACGTAGCGCAGCATTAAGCCCAAGCCAATCGACAAGTATTTCGCAATCGACGAAGAGGAGACAGTTATGCGTTACAGAATCCAGTTTAGAGCGAAAATGTGGTTCATTCATCTATGAATGCTTCTGAATTCAGCTTGCTCCCTCACTGCTACTGATCAAAAAATGTCTTCATAGTCGACTGGTAATAATACATACGATCAACAGTTTATCTTCCTTCATGTACAGCAAAAACGGTTTTCGACGCTCATTAATTTCCTCTGTATTTTCCACATAGCTTTCACGCAGTGCAGCACTAAGCCAAAGCCAATCGATAAGTATTTCGCAATCGACGAAAAGGAGACAGTTACGCGCTACAGCATCCAGTTTAGAGCGAAAATGTGGTCCATTCATCTGTCAATGCTTCTGAATTCAGCTTGCTTCCTCTCTGCTGCTGATCAACGAAGTGTCTTCTTGACAGTTGGCTGGTGTTAATTCACATGCTCTCCCAGTTTATCGTGTTTCGTGTATAGCAAAACGGTTTTCGACTCTCAATAACTGTTGGATAACCTGTCCGAAATTAAATACCCACCAAATCGAAAATAGGAAGAAACACTAATGAATATGTGACAAAACTTACACTGATGCCTCTTCTCGGTGCATTTCCACGTATAAGCATATCTGTTGAACCTTTAACAAATCGCATTCTGTAATTGCCGGCCGGTGCGAAATATGCATGAAGGCCTTCGCTTACTACAACACCAGGCAATTCCGGCTGTTCAGGATTCCTAAAAATCAGTGATGTATGGAAGAAAAGCGAAACAACTGAATCAGTAAAAGTTACTCCTAGGGGTTGCCTACCTAGGCAACCGTACTGATCGCGAGAAGCATATCTGGTGAGCTGGTGTTTCAGCATCAAAATAAGTGGGGAAAACAAAAAAATCCAGGCAATTACCCGTATTTTTCAGTTCCGGCAAGCACATTTTTCATCAAAAACAATGGTGTGTGTTCCGCAATCGAATCCAGCATATCTGACATAATATCCGAATTTAGCGACAGCAATGTTTCTTCCGCAAGACTCTATAACGAAACTACATTTCATGGTTTTTTTAAAAAATTTTCAAATAAAACTAAAATTTTTCGTCCCCTTTCAAAACAGTCCCTCTCCTCTACCTCAATTCAACTCATTCAGAGGTGCAAGATTTCGGAAGCAGATCAATTGTAGTTCACAGCCATAACCTCCTTTAGTAGCTCTCTTTCTCTCTCGCCCCCTCTCCCCAGTTTTAGAAGTAAACTATTAAAGGGGTTCGATCCCCAAGAATATGCCAGTACCAATTTACCATCGAAATGAATGAACGAATCGTACAGGGACTAATCCTCTGACAATCGATTTAACAAAAAACAAAGAGAGAAAATCATCAATATCCTTCTCTCGCCTCATCTAAGAGTTTTTAGAAGCAAACTGATAACAAATTTTGATTCCCAAGAATATGCCAGTACCAATTTACCAATGAAACGAATGAACGAAT